GCGGTCTGCAGGATGTTGCTGTCAAGTTCAAGGAGTTATACGGCAAGTATAAGGGCATGGGCTGGGACATTGGCATGGGCGACTTCATCCAGGTACGTTCCCAGACACTGATCAACACCATACTTCCTTACTTTGAAGCAGATCATTGCTAACCAAGCATACAAATAGATGGGTGCAAATGTCGCAACAGTAGTCTGCCCTCTCGGCCCGCGCATCAAGTCCTACGTCGGCCGCAAGGACAGCGCCAACGGCTCCCCCGATGGCCTCCTCCCGAGCCCCTTCCAGCCGGCCGACCAGCTCATCCAGCTCTTCCGCGACAAGACCATCGGCCCGCACGGTCTCGTCGCCCTGCTCGGCGCGCACACCACCAGCCAGCAGAACTTTGTCAACACCACCCGCGCTGGTGACCCCCAGGACAGCACACCCGGCGTCTGGGACGTGCTCTACTACAAGGAGACGCTCAGCTCCAACTCGCCGCCTCGCGTGTTCAAGTTCCCCAGTGACATTGCCATCTCCCAGCACCCCGAGACGGCCAAGGAGTTCAAGGAGTTTGCTGGCCCTGGCGGACAGAACCACTGGAACGAGGTATGATGATCTCCCCCTGTGACTTGTGCGCTGGAAGTAAGGTGTTAACATGGCTTGCCTAATAGGACTACGCTCGTGAATACATCCGCCTCTCTCTTCTGGGAGTCAACAATATCAACCAGCTCACCGAGTGCACCAAGGTCCTGCCCCCTGCTGTGAAAGGCTTCCGCGCCGTCGATCAGTACAAGCTCGACAAGTGGCTCAACAGCGTCGGCAACAAGGGTTCTGCTAAGAAGGTTGCCGAGGATATCGAGAAGGGCGAGCCCGCTTCCGTTGAGGTTCCTCCTGTCAACAACCGTAACTAAATCTTTGTGGCTTGTCTTTGAAGTAATGGCGTTGGTATAGATCTGGCTTGGAAGATTAATGAGGGCGTTGCATATTACCAGGTTCGGAGTTACGGTACCAGGTCCTTGTTGACCATTCGTATAAATTAAGCGTCCAATGACCTCATATGTCATATAATACTTCAAACTCGATAGTAACTACGATACAGTCTTTTTCATACGATGTGGATATGTTTGATAGCAAAACTACAATGTCGAGAATGTGCGTCGGCCACTGACTCGGATCACGGCATGCCTGGAAAGCTTATTCCTTGAGCGACTCGTGGCAAAGCAGTGACCACGGTGTATATATTTGCCGGCTGGATGAGGCGTCAGATAGAATCAAGCTTTTGGAAAGACAAATGAGTAAGGAGAATCTGAATTATTGTCCAAAAAGTTGTGGTCCTGGATGTTGAAAATTCTCTTCTCAGCTACGTGTCGACAGGCCCTGGTGGTTCTTCGGACCTGACAGTGTTCGGACCGAGAACAAGCTGGACCCTTGAGTGTACTGTGTGACATCGACGTTATTTTAAACTTCAGCGCTGTCCTCAAGTGACCTCTCGTCCCGCCTAACTAGCCTTTGACTGAACAACATCTTCCTTAGACCTCAACGTCGCATAGGATACAATTCCCATGGTACATCAATCCTAGAGATCGTCACACCCAGCCCATTTGTTCTTCTATCACCGTCGAAAAAATGGATTATCGCCTGGTCCTCTTTCTCTACCGCAAAAAGGATATCACACACGCTGAGTTCAGAGATCACTACGAGTACATACACATACCCCTCACCCGAGAACTCACCGGATCCCGTTTCCCCTCCCTGCACTCGAGACGGTACATTGAACGATCGCCAAAGGACGAGCCAACTGTCCTCATCGGGAAAAGCACCGGAGAGGAGCCTGACGCAGTGGTAGAAATTGGGTTCAAGAACGAGGAGGCGGCGCAAGCGTTTTTCGATGTGACCAACTCTGGGGAGGTCGAGGAGAGGTTGCGGAAGGATAATGCGCAGTTTCTGGACTGGGAAAGGCTGAAGATTATGAGGATCGGGGACGTTTTTGAGACGCGTAGGGAGGACTAAGGCGAATAAAGTCCATCCATGTGAGGACTTTGTACTTTTTATGAGGTCACAAATCATAAATGGATGATGTCGGCAATTTGTTCGGCCGCTTATGGCGACGCAGCTACTGGATCCTCCGCAACAGCTCCATTAATCCTATTCTTGTCGCCTCTTTTTTTTTTCTAAAGAGGTTTTAGTTCCGAGACTGGGGGAACAGCCTTGACTTGACTACTTCTGCTGAACGTCTCTGCAATACGATGGACTGAGTGTACAAAAATACGCGTATTTCGTTAAGCCTCACCATAGCCTAGTGCCGAGTTCTACATATAACGCGGGCACGTGGGTAATTTTCTATATATGAAGACATTCCGAAGCTCATTCTATCGATATTCGATATCAGGAAATATTTCTTTCGCTCTATGTGTTTCGGACGTTGGCAATGGTTCGTGAAGTGCTCTTCTAGAAATACGCGTAAATTCGCAGGCTTGGCGTGGGGCGTTCTTGGATCCTGAAGGATTGCGTCTAGACCCTGTAGTACTACAGGCTTCAAGAAAAGCTAGCTTGGCATCATAGTCGTAGAAAGAGCCTACGATGAGTAAACTACACGTTAGTCCGCAGACTAGATGATGCACGTAAGCTTTAATAGTCTTCAGTTCTCTTGATCTGCACAAAGCCTCAAGCCTATGTAGCCTAAATACACGTGGCAGTAAGAGCTAGTTGTGAGCTAGTAACAAAATTACGCGTAAAAATGCCCTTCTACACATAACTTGAATATGATGCTTGTCGAGGTATTTCGAAAGCATCAAAGCATATCTTTCCTCTAAGGCTACTCATAGCGCCAATATGTCATCACGGCCTTTTGAGCGATTAGCTCACCAGTCCAGGGCGCAGATCCCAACTTGCTAGATGGCTGTGCAAGCTCACGATGATCCTCCTTCATAACATTGTAGGTGGCAATATCAATTTCGGATTGACACAAGACTCATAGAATCATCATAAATAGAAAGCATTCTCCCGTAAGTTGGGACAAGAAAGCCTTCATGCAACTTACAGCAAACTTCACTCCACCTTAATCAAACCTCTTATACCAGAAGCTCTCGAACTCATCATGATGCTTTCTCACCTATCCCTATCGTCAGCAGGCATTGCGACTGCCACACTGCTACTGCTGTTTAGCGGTGCGCAAGGGCAACAAATGATGGCGAATAACGGCACCCAAGGCCCCTCTGGCTTCCCTGCAGTCCGCAACCCTTCCCCAAGTAAAGCACCCCGATCATCCTCGACTAATCTGTGTTTAGTGTGACGCCCTCGTGGCCGCCAACTTATCCCACGTCATTCACTTTCCGTCTTCTCCCCTCTACCAAACCCTCGTTCAGAACGGCTCTTACGCTATCTCCACCCGAAAACAGCCTTGGTGCTTCGTTCTTCCGAGCACCGCCGCTGAGGTCTCCAAAACTCTTACCGCTCTTCAATCCGCCGGTGATGGTGCCGGAGACTGGCATGTGGCCATCCGCAGCGGCGGACACGGGGGTGATAATCAGAACAACATTGTCGACGGTGTGACCATCGACTTGACCCACCTCAACACCACCACGTACGACGCAGATACCAACGTCGCACACGTCGGGACCGGGGCGCGATGGGGTGCTGTGTACGCCGCGTTAGAAAAGGACGGAGTCTTGGTGACGGGCGGAAGAGAATCTGTCGTAGGCGTGGGTGGACTTCTTCTCGGCGGTGGCATCTCGTGGTACACGGCGCGTACGGGCTTCGCCTGTGACAGTGTCGTCAACTACGAGGTGGTCCTAGCGAGCGGGGAGATCGTCAATGCCAACGCGTCGGCTAATTCGGACCTATGGCGGGCTCTGAAGGGAGGCAGCAGCAACTTCGGTATCGTCACTCGCTTCGATCTCGCAGCGTTTCCGGCTGAGAACTTGCACATGGAGACGAAGACCTTTAGCAGAGAGCACGCCGGTGAGCTCGTGGATGCGGTTGCTGGTTTCACCGATTTGGACCGGTCGTTCCAGGACAATGCGGTGCTCCTTGTCGTCACTTACGATCCAGAAACTGAAGCCAGCATTTGGAGGGCGACTAAGGTCAACACCATGAACAAGGCCAACAGTACAGCATTCGACGCCTTCGACCGCATCCCGACGTCAGCACCGACTATGGAGAAGTCGGTGACGCTTGTCGAGGCTGCTAACAGTACCGCGCTGTCCGGCAAGAATCGGTGAGTTGAATGATCAGGATACGTCTAGTCACATTGATATGAATTCAAGAGTTGCTGATGATTTTCCTCCTAGAAACGCTGGAGCTGGGGCTTTGACCGCAGTTAACGATCCAAGAGTCCTGCGGTACTGCATCGAACAGCATGAGGGCCTCGTCGCAGACATGAAGGCTCTCCTCGGACCAAAGAACTTTACCACGATTCTCGACTTCCAGCCAATCCCGTCATACTTTGCCGATATTGGCGTGCAGAAGGGGGGCAACATGCTCGGACTCGAGCGAGACTCGCGCAACAAGGTTCTTTTCATCATGGGAGTGACTCTACTAGGATCAAACAGCGAAGAGCTCTTCCCGCGGGTTTATCAGCACGTTGCAGCCGCAAACAAGAGAATTGAAGACTTCTCAAAGTCAGTTGGTAGCGACACTGAGCTCAGATACCTTCCCTATGCGGACTCTAGGCAAGATGCAATTGGAAGTTACGGAAAAGCCAATGTGGAGCACATCCGAAAAGTTGCGGAGGAGTATGACCCCGAGGGCTTCTTCCAGTACAGGGTTCCAGGCGGCTTCAAGATCAGCCGAGTTTGAATGGCATTCTGACATCACCTTAAGGCGCAAAGAGATAGACCGGTTCGCATATATGATTCTTTGTTTTCTTTTGTTGCTTTTTCGATTATTACATAGATAGATTTGTGCTCTAAGATGGAACAGTTCGCTCATATAAATCAAGTGTGTGAAAAGCAGCGCACTTTGTGCTATGACCACCGACCAAAAACCCATGCGTGACTGGCTCGCGAATTATTATGTATGATTCAGTCGAATCTGTAAGAGTCTGTCATTCTGGTCGGGCCAAACTCGGGAGACATTTGCATCCCGTCGTTGTACCACACCTGACCTCTCGGCCACTCCGCCTCCTGAATATTCTGGGCATGGCGTGGTATAATAGCTGGAGGGAAGCCGACCATGGAAGGCGCATGATCTTGCGCAAGCAGGTATCCAGTCCCGTTGCCGACCTCTGCGTTGCCAGCCAAGACCGCCGGACTCCAAGGTACATTTGCTGGATGTGGGTTGCACCCGCAGGTTGAATACTGTGGAGACGGATAGAAGTTCCAGGAGGGATTTGACCGTTGATATACGACATCCTCATTGCAGCTCGAGTAGAGAGGGTCCTGATAGAAGCCCTGTGGCTCTTCGTACTCGTACTCCGGTTGGATGGTCGGGAATGCCAATTGCTCACTGGCTTGGCTCTCGTAAAACAGCTCATTCGATTTATTGAGCTGGCGTGTCGTGTGATGCATGTAGTCAGGGGAAGATTGACGGTCCGCTATCGTTTGCGTGGGGCTCGTCGTATCGTTATCAACATGCTCTGGCATTGAAATCGGACTCGTCATGGGGCTGTCGTCTTTCGAAGTGTTGGTGAGTTCCTCCAAAGACGCGTCGGATTCCTCCCCGGACGTCGAATCGTGGTAGATCTTGTGATGTTGGATCAAAGCCACCTTGCGACAGAAACTGATTCCCTATTAGCTGGTGTCCATATGGTTGCGGAAGTCGAAGGTTATTACTCACCTCTTACGACAGGTTTCAATAGCGCATGTATACGGACGCTTGCCTAAATGCACCCGACGATGACGCGAGAAACTCGACGACTTGAGATCGTTAGAGTCAAAATCCCATTCTTGATTATGTCAAAGATTGACTCACATCTGCGAACCGTTTGTAGCATCCAGGATATTGGCACTCGTATGGCTTTTCACCAGTGTGCGTACGGAGATGTACAGTCAATGCACTTCTTTGGATGAAACTCCTCTCGCAGCCAGGTGCTGGGCATGGATACGGCCGCTCATTGGTATGGATTCGGAAATGTCTGATAAGGTCCGACTTGCGGTTGAATCCCTGTGGGAATACGTAGGTAAGTATAATACTCTTCAGAGATTGATAACCTTCTGGTCGCACTGAGGGTTCCGGGAAGCAATAGACATTACCTTCTCGCAGGTCTTCCAACTGCAGTAGAAGCGACGGAAGCGCTCCTTGTTGTTGACAAGTTCAGTGATTTCCATTTTCCTCGCGGGCAATGCCTCTGGGTTGCTGATGGTGAAGGTTGGCTGGCCAGTTAAACAGAGGGAGACGCCTCTTTCGGGTTGAATGTTTCCGAGTTTCGGCTCCGACGGTTCGTCTAATAACGAACTAAGGTGAGCGGATGTTATAAGCGCGCATTGGCGAAGCCCATAACCTGGAGTTCTGTGATAGACTACACCGGTATGATGGAAGTGGAATCAAAGCGTACGTCGTTTGTTGAAGAAGTTGCGACTTGAAGATGCAGAGAGATGCGTAAACGGCAAGGTGACTTTTTAGCTTGAATTGGGGGCGTGTGTCTGTAAATGACACCGTCAAATAGAAAGATCAGGAAGGTAGCGGTCTGAAGGAGATTCGGCCTAGTAGCTGAATCGTATCCGTTGACACCCATACTTTAGAGAAGGGGCATCATCGCATCTTTTAGCGTGAAGCTTTCATTATGTAGGTGGAAAATCCTCGGTCAGGCTTGCAGGATGCCTTTCAGTGTCTAGACCAAAATAGTCGTGCCGCAGTGTAGCATCGTCGTTGGATCCTTGGGAGATGGTCCAAGCTCAGAGCGAAAACCCCCTGGACATCCAGGGCTGCTCAAGACAAAGCATTGGAGATCATTTCAGTTCTCGTCATTCCGGTGAAGGTGTGGCATGCAGCCCGACATCTGCGGGGGCTCCGTTGTTGCGAGTGGCGACCAAGCTTTCCCTTGCCCTGCGTTCAGATGTCGCCATTACGGATAGGAAACAGAGTATTACAAGTTTTCTGTGCCGTTTGATAAGGCATGGGCGTCGTGGGTCGCTGCATGGGATATCCAGAAGTTGACTGGGGATGTCTGGAAGCATGGGGTAATTTGTAGCGTACCCTACAGAACCTCATTAGAGTTTGGCCCAAGCTGGAAGCGGGGGCAGTCTGGATGTGCTTCGAGGATCTTGGCCCTTGGTTCCTAGTGATTGCATCCCTCGTGACCAATACGGACTGCACAAACCCTAGTCTAGCCGATGTGATCTACGGGCTTGGGTAGCAAGCATTTCCTCTCACAGTTTCATATTAGGGCTTAGTGTGAGAGGATGAAAAAGTGTCACAGTGTCTTCTGTCTCACAGAATCATTCGAGTTTTCGGTTCAGCACCAAAAACTAGTGAAGAGATCATCTGCAGTCCAGGACTCAGCTTTGCTTTTTCTGATCCGCCCAAAACCGCTGTTTTCCGCCAAAGGCTGCCTCTCTGCCTTCACCGTTTTGCCGACTACCTACCGCCATGCCCTTGGTATGACTTGCTGATGGGGCTGTCAAGAGAGTTTAGATGATTGACGGATCGCCATTCCTACGGGTGGCCCGGCCGGCGGATCCGCGTGTCTTGCTGCCCTAGGGGCCCAATTTCTCCCCTCTGATTTGTTATTCCCATGGTAGTTCCATGGTAGATAACTGTTTGGTATCGACCGGTCTCGAATCTGTGCTCGTTATCAATCTTTAAACCAGACTAACTAGCTAAGACGTCTCATATCTCTTGAAAGCCGTGCCATATCCGTACTGGCGGTAAGTGGGATTCCACGGGACTTGTGGTGGTTCCCCCGGGATCGAGAGGCCGTGCCCAGAGATGTTCCGGCGACTGACGACAGTCCTTGCCCCGGATACAACTCGGAATCGGGATCGGGGGTGCGACGCGGAATGCCACGCAAGATGCGGATTTCAATTCCCTCTTCGAGAAAAGCTTGCGAACGAGGGCGGATCTCCGGGATCATCTGGGATATCTCCCGTCTTCTCCAATCAGCACTGAAACTTACAGATTTCGTTGCAGCCTGGGCTGCCGAGTGATTGAGGGTGGGATATCACTTCTCACTTTGGGGGATTCCTTGGGGGGTGCTGTTGGGTGCTGAAGATATGATAACTCTGTGGTATTATGCCAAAGCTACAGAGCTCAGGCCGGTGGGCCAAAATTCGAGATGATCCTCCACTAGCGAGCTAGCCAGGCCGTGAGACCCAGAGATGATGGCCCGGCAAGGATCTGTGGCAGCCTTCATCCCCAGCTCTTCCACTAGGCTTGTCACTCTCAAGTTTTCAGCAGACGCTAACTCCACGTTGGCGAGCGCGGGTGGGTTGAATCCCTGTCAAAGCCGGCATCAAGCAATTTCCCGGAAGGGCCCGGACGGGCCAAGGAGCATGCCTCCTCTGTGTAGGACGGCGACCATCGAGTGGTCGCCGTGTGATGCTTGGCTGCATACCTCAACAGCATGTTGACTACTCCTCAAGTATGTGACTATTTGCTCAATCTGTCAGAAAAGGCGCAATGACGAAGAGCCTGGGCTGACATGGGGTTGGGATGGTTGAGATTTGAAGCAGGGAGATGCCTGCGAAACGGGACCATGAACGTAGATCATTCAGGCACCCCACGGGATGGGACTCGACCCGGAGGAACAGTCAACAAATGATATCCAGTATGGACCCCAGTCAAATTCTTGAAATATCGCCATTGCCGCTGCCGCTCCATCCTGCTCACCTCTCATCCGAACGCGGGAAAAACAATCGAAATACGCGGTGAAGACACAGCCACATTGGTCCCTTTCGTGTGCCTGCGCGCGCTTTGACGTATGCCATCTTTTCTTTTTCCTCTCGTGATATCCTGCCCGTTATTCGCAAGAACCCAGTTACGAAAGCTGAAGCGAAACATTGTTCTTCAAGTGGGTTAATTGACAGGCACGGCAGGTCGGCGCCCAAAGCGTTCATCACCCTTTTCGGTATGCTTAGTCGACTTCAAACCTCTCCACAGGGTCTTTTTTGCCACGCGAGACCTGCCAGAGTGACAGGTCAAGAATCAGAGGCTGCGTGGCCTAACCCCCGAACGATTGGACCCCCTGCCTCATTCTCGCACAGTTCGGGCACGGAACCGAATCAGCCGCAACCACGAGGCTCAGTCCCGAACTTCGCAAGCAGGGAAACATCTGTCTTAGTTTTAGCCTGCGCCGAGATTCGGTGGCAATTGCCGAGCTCTTGATAGCCCATCAAGAGCTCAGGGGTTCCATATTAATGCGCCTTCGACCTTTGACGTTGGGGATTGCCGATCGCGTAATACTTCGTGGGTACTGGGGAGGCAATTGGTTTTGCCCTGATTTGATGGCCAAGGAGAGAACCACACTCACTTGCCGGTCCATCGCAAAATCGCTAATTTTCCTCTTTTCGTAGAGGCCTCCTGCCGAGAGACGCTTTGATACAAGACGATGATAATGCCACGGAGTGGCCGACTTAGCTGCGTCATTGAGGAGAATTGGAGTATTACAAACGTCTTTGAGATCAAACTCTCAATCTCAGGCAAAAATGGCCGAACTGTAAGAGCATACAAGCGAAATGGTAAAGATGTAAACAGGTGAGTGGAGCTGAGTTCCGTTTCTTAGCAGACACTGGAGGATGAGACAACTCCCTAAGCGCCGGGTACATTTGCCGCAGTCCACGTCATTGCAATTTATGTAATTGGGTAGAACAGCCTACTTGCCTTATGCCTGACCTCTGAAGCAAAGGCGGAAGGGACTGGGTTCTCAAGGGTAATATGAATTGAGAGTTCTCCTTGCCGTCAAGGTCTGTAATCTTGGATGGACGGGTGCCTAAACTTAATATGAACTTTTGTATGAGGGCAAGGCTACAAATACGTTGCATCCAAGGCAGGTGACATTTCTTTTGGGATGAGTTGAATATTTGTGGAACTTAGCAACGTTGCACTCTGGGAATCCATTCAAAGAAGCTGATCCGGTCTCTGTGACATCAAATAACAACACTCCTCAGTCCAAAATAAAGCCGCGGAAATTAAACACTCTCAGAACACTACAGATCCCATGTCTTCGATCATCAAAAGACGACTACGGGCGCCTCCTTTTTCAGCTCAACATCGCTCTTGATATCCTTGTCAGATGGCGACGGTAGGCACTCTTCGATGTCCTCGTCCAACTTCGTGTCATCCAGTATCTCGGGGTTGAAACACCGAGAACCCTTGGGAATAAACGTCGATGCAAACACTGTGGCCATGATGACAGTGAAGTGCACTCCTGCGGTATTCACCAGCGCCTCTCGCACTGATCCTGTTCGGTTGTACACGCCATCGATGTATCTTCCGAGAAAGGTGCCGGCAATCGCATATGTGACAATGTAGAAGGAATACAAGAACGCCATAACCGCCCCGAGAGGCGAAACCCTGTTCTCCTTGTCTTCTAGCCTGGCGAGAGAAGCCTGGATAAAAGCGGCCAGAGACACGTCTCCCGCGGCCCAACCGAACGAAACTGGCAAAAATGTGGCGGCGACGATCCAGGCCTGGCCGACCTGCCCCGAGGGCGGATACCAATAGGGGATGTACCAAATAATGAGCAACATCAGGGCATCTAAGCGAAGCCACGGAATGGGCGTCTTGATCACATTCGTGAACAGGAAAACGAACAGCGCACCCAGGAGTTCACCAAAATTAGAGCCGCCGACCATGATTTGTGACCATGCCGAGTTGCCCAAGTACCGTCGTGCCACTTGGGGTGCGATGCCATTTTCGAGATATCGGTGCCCATAAAGGGCTACACCGTATGCCGGGACCAGCCAGACGAATCTCGTCGAGGTGAACAGGATCTTGGCGCCGACCCATATGGACTCGAAGAAGAGGAGGAAGCCCTTGCCAATATTGATAAAGTAATTGCTTTTGCGGGCTTCAGCTCGCGCGAGGGCGTTGCGGTCGTGGCTGCCGTCCACGACAAAGAACCACAGAACTGCCGCGAGAGAGAAGCAGATTGGGGTGATGACGAAGGAGCGATTATTGCCGAGATTGGGAATGAGGACCAGCGCTGTGACGAAGGCCCCTGATGTACCGGCGACCTCGTAAAAAATGTGTACCAAACTGTCCATTTGACGAAGTTTCTGAACGTTCCCTCCGACGATATCTCGCGGGATAACGCGGCGGATGAGCTCAACCATGCCATACGCGATGCCCGTGACCGTGTAGATGGGTATAATGGCGTCGTTGTTGTAAT